TGTCAGCTTTTTGGATAAAAATTTGGATTTTTTCAAACTTTGAGCGACGAGCGGCACGGGCTAATGTCGTTTAATCGAGCTCAAATTTCGGCTAACTCAATATCTGGAAAGGGGAATCGTTTTGTGGGGTCCAGACGAACAAAATTCCGACTTTTTTTTCCACCCCCTATGAGTTGCGGTCACCCTAGTGTATATATATATGAGACATTCTTTTACAAATCGTACACCTATTTTGACATCAGGGTTTGGATTCGCATGAAATTTTTTTTACCGCTTCTATTCAGTAAATAAGCAGATACGTGTATCAGGTTTTCTGTAAAAAATTTGTTTTTTCAGAGATATGTTGATATAAAGTTTTTATGAATTGCGATAAAACGATAAATTCTCTTCTACATAAAACCCATTATCTCCGGTTCTACTGATCGTATCGATTTTGTTTTTTTTTTTGTTTTAAACCTTATTGAATAGGCTTTTCAAATAAATAAATTAATTTTTTTTTTTTTTGGTATAGGGAGTTAATAACAGATTAATTTTTTAAACCAGTTTTTCATGTTTGCCCCCTCTATAAAATAAAAGGAAAAAAATACTATTTTATGGGCTTTTTCTTTATCTACAAAATACATTTTTCAGAACAGTGGAGACTCTTTTGGATCGGAAGATATTAAACATTTTCGAGCGCGTGACAGGACTGTCAAGCGCGTAATATTCAAACGTATTAGTGCATGTGGCGGGTGACGTGATATTTTGTATAAGAGTGCCATGATTCGACATCTTTTAATTGGTGACTTATTTGTGCAAATGTCAATTCTGCCAGTTAATAAATTTACTCAATAATTGGAGTTTGTATTATTTAAAATTTAATTTATTTAAAATGATTGAAAACCTTTAAAATCAGAATTAATTTACAAAAAGCGCTGGTATTTTTTTAAAACGATGTATGAGTTTACACTATCCTAAATAGTGATGCCGCGAGACGAGACGAGACGAGAAAAGTCCTTCTCTCGTCTCGTCTCGTGCAGCGAGAGAAAATGGGTCTCTCGTCTCGTCGAGAATACTCTTTTCTCGCTCGAGAGTGCCTTTCTCTCGTCTCGTCTCGTTTCTCTCGTGGTAAAAGTACCTATATATGAATACAAAAATTATTTGCAATTAAATACGTACCTATTCGTTTATATTTTTTCTATATAAATTTAAACTGGAAATAAAAAAAAATTGTGCCAAGACCACACTGATAAAGTAAGACTTTTTACGCCGAAAATGTCGCACATTTGAATCAAATGGTTGGATCTATGTGGAGTAGTTACATCTATAGATGTAACTGTAACACTTAGAAAAAAGTTTATTGCTCCCAAATAAAAAAAATATTTATATATATATTTATATGTATCGTTATTATTTCGACTATTTAGAGGTAATAAACAATATATTCACTATTAATAAAAGGATTAACTACACAGTTTATTTGTCCCATTTTTTTTCTCAGTGTAGTATATAGGCGCAGTAGTTTTCAGATGGATGGATCAAATCATCCATCCATCTAAAAACTACTGCGTCTATATGATGTAACTACTCCACATAGATCCAACCATCTTGTAGCTACTGCGCATGTCCGTCATTTTGAATCCGCAATTTTGTTTTTTGAATGGATATCAAATTCTTAATCAGGGACCCCATAAATATCTAAATACTAAATTTTACCCAAAATTTTGTTTATTATGAATTGCGAATAATGTTCTCATTGGTCCAAATAAATATCGCAAAATTAAAATTTTTATGTAAAAAAATTGTTTACTTATTACCGGAATAATCGAGAGAACGAGAGAGATCGAGAGAAACGAGAAATTCTAGAGCGAGAGAGGGCATTCTCTCGTCTCGTCTCGAGCCTTTTTTCGAGAGAAAATCTCCCTCTCGTCTCGTCGAGACGAGACGAGACGAGAGGCGAGAATCTCTCGTATCGGCGGCATCACTAATCCTAAATGTGTTAGCGTTTCGAAGATGTCTGATTAGGGGGTGTCCATTAATTACGTGAGTCAATTTTAGCGATTTTTTGACCCCCTCCCCCCTTGATGAGATGTCGTGAGATTTGGCTCAACCCCCTCCCCCTAATCTCACGTGAGATTTTAAAAAATGCTTATTTTTAATGTTTATACGTTAAACTGCTTGATTCTGTTGGATTTATTAAAAAAACATACTTTGTTAAAAATTACGTGATATTTGCCGAGACCCCCCCTCTCCCTTACGTGAGAATTGATGAGATTTGGCTTGACCCCCTCCCTCCCCTAAACGCCTCACGTAATTAATGGATGCCCCCTTACGGCTTGTACTGGTCACGCGCTCGAAAATATTTAATATCTTCCGATCCAAAAAAGTCTCCATTTTTCTGAAAAATTCATTTTGTAGAGTAATAAATAGTGCATAGAACAGTATTTTTTTAATTTTTTTTCATAGAGGGGGCAAACACAAAAAATCTGTTTATACAAAAAAAAAATATTTTTTTCATATAATAAACAAAACACAAACTTTTTAAATATTTATCTAAAAAGACTATGTAATATGGTTTAAAATAAAAAAAAATGAAATCGATCCGATCAGTAGAACCGGAGATAATGAATTTTAAGTACAAAAGAATTCAGCATTTTTTCAAATTTTATCAAAAGTTTAAATCAATATATCTTTGGAAAAATAAATTTTCTGCAAAAATTCCGATATAGGGGTCGGCTAAATTTATGAAAAGATGCTTTAAAAAAAAATTAAGTCATTTTAAAAATTTGAAAAAAATATGTTTTCTGTAATCCGTACGATATGTAAAAGAATGTCTCATATACGTGTTATAACATTTCATCGAAGATCTTTAAAATATGAACATAATGATATGTGGCTTCTAGTTTCTTCGCCATAGGATTATGAACGGAATCAGTAAACTTTGCTTCTGATTTCTTTGAACAGCCAGCCATTTCATTCATTTTACAACTGTAACACTAGTGTTCATTAAGACGGCACAAATCTAAGTTAAATTATCCAAGATAACAAATTTGTCTAATTTATCTAAAAAATAATGAACAAATGATAACGATCAGCACTTTCCATCAAATTATGGAGTACCGGAATTTCTGGGTATGAATTTCCAGGGGGGGGCCCGGGCCCCCCCCTGCCCTCATGTAGCGGCGCCCATGGTTCACATGCACAAGTATAAATACGAAATTTAAGTTAACAAATAATACTTATGTACATTCACCAGCATTAAAACAATTTATATAATAATAATTATTAATACTAATATAAACTATTACCTAATTGTTTAGAAAACAACAACAAAAAACCTCAAGGTTCAAAGGCTTGTTACTTCTATCATGCATCCACCATGGTGGAAAAACACGATTTCGGCGTATTAATTATGGTATATATCCTATATAGCACAGTTTTTGGAAAAGCAAAAGTAGATATTTATAATAAGTAAGTACAAACCCCAAAGTTTTAATAATTCTTTAGTGTTCTCTCTGTCATTGTATCAACCTCACCGCAGGAGTATTCTCACTGACTTGGGCGTACATTATGCCTATCAGCTGTTAATAACTCATTCGCTAATAGTTACCTTTTTACTTTTCGCAGAACTCGGTTATAATGATAGTTATAATTTATCTCCTAAAAGTTAATTTTTGATTAATAATATAAAGAATATTATATTTTGCAATAACATTTAAATGCTGATAATTATTGCAACTTAAACTTAATATCAGCATACCAAGGTATAAGTTTATTTATCATAAAATAACAGTTACCAATTTATATTATAATTTGTGATATTTTCCCAAATATTTGGAATAAACTGAGTATATTAACAACAAACCTACATCCACTAACATTAAATCAATAGCCTTTAACTTATCCCAGGTTACTATTAAGAAAACCACATTCTATTATTTAGAAAACAATTTTTAAAATAATTTTAGTAATATATTTAGAATATTGCTATACTTAATTTGATTAATAGTTAAAAAATATAAGTTTAAGGCATATATGCTAACCTTCAGGATAGCAATCTACTAAATATATTACTAAAATTATTTTAAAAATTGTATTCTAAATAATAGAATGTGGTTTTTTTCATAGTAACCTGGGATAAGTTAAAGGCTATTGATTTAATGTTAGTGGGTGTAGGTATGTTGTTAATTTACTCAGTTTGTTCCATATTATATTTAGAAAAATATTAAAAATTATAATATAAATTGGTAACTGTTGTTTTATGATAAATAAACTTATACCTTGGTATGCTGATATTAAGACTTAATATCAGCATACCAAGGTTAATAATAATAATATAACTTAGTATAAGTTGCAATAATTATCAGCATTAGTTTTTGCCACCATGATAGAAGTAACAAGGGTTTAAACCATGAGGTTTTTTGTTGTTTTCTAAAAAATTAGGTTTATATTAGTATTATTAATTTTTATTATATAACTGTTTTAATGCTGGTGGATGTACATAAGTATTATTTGTTAAATTAAATTTCGTATTTATACTTTTTAAGCATGTGAACCATGCTGTTTGCATAATCATATGCTAACATAATACTTACTTTCATTCACAGACTGGTCTGTGCTTTCATTGATTAACTATTAGCTGATGGAAAAATAACTGATAACTCAGAAAATGTGATTATTATAATAAAATACTAATAGAAAACCAAATAATATAACAGTTAGTAAATACAATATTTAAAATAATAAGGTAAATTTAATAGTTATTAAAGTAATTTAACTATTAATATTTCAAAACCTTTCTATTAATAAATGAAAGGTAAGATTAAGTACTTCTTTATACCTTGTGGTATTATAACTGTTAGTTCATATAGGTTTGGCAGAATACGAATCCACTACAGTTAATATTATTATTTCTTTTTCTCTGTGTGTTGGTCAAATAAATTATTATTATTATTATTATTATTATAAGCATTAAAAAACTTTAATGTGTAAAACCTCTAAAACAAAAGGTCATATAAATTCTCAAAATTTATTACAATAAACTATCTATATACAAAATAATACGAAAACATCAGTCAATCTTAAACAACGGCATAATTTAGAGGAGACGCAAACCTAGGAAAAGGCGCTGGTGCAAAAGCGGGAGCGGCAACATACGGAGACGCTAAACGAGGGAACGCCGGAGCGACTGCATTAGCTGCCAAAACAGGTGCAGGAGCGGCCACTACAGGAGCGACAGCTGCAGCTCTGGCGGCTACGACGGGAGCGGCAATAGCCAAAGGCGTTTTCCTAACGACAGCGTTAAATCCGTTGACAGGATCTGCGGTGTAATCAACGATGCGTCTAGTTCCGTCAGGATCGGCTACTGTGTATTGTCCTTGTACGATTCCGCCATTACGACTTTCCACATGGCTCTTGCTGTCACCTGTCAAAGTGTCCTGGACATCGTAGGCAAAAGAGTATTGCGGGTTTGGGTCGAAGGTGGAGTCAGATAGTTTGGCAGCTACCACAGGGGCGGCTAATGCGGGACCAACGGCAACAGGTGCCCCTATTACTCCGCCCCTGGCTACAGCCACTAATGCAGCAAGAATAACTACCTGGAAACATAATATTTGTTATAACAAATTATAATTTAGTTATCAGAAGTTTTGTTAATATATGAGTTTAATTTAAAACTTTCCATATAAACAACGATAACATATTAAACTTATAAATTGCAGTTTATAATATTATATATATATAAAAAACTATTAATAAACACGCCTTTTTTTCCCTATTTCATTGGTAACACATCTTACGTAAAAACACCTTTTAAATTATTTCACGTTAACTAATAAAAAAATAATAATTATGAAAACTACAAAACACTTAAATTAACACTACTAAATCCAAAACTATTTATTGCCTACCTTGTATGCCATGTTTATTAACAAAATTGTTTGAACGACTGATAGCCAATCTATTGGTATACCTTTGTATTTATAGTTTTCGATGCTTAATAATTTTGTAACGAACCATCTCCTATTCGGAATATTAAATATAACCAATTTGGCAAGGCAATACGATCGAAAAATATTAATTAGCTTTAGCTTTCTGTTATTTTAATGCTTAATATTAATTATGGTAAATTTATATCAAAAACAGCGGTTTGTATTTGCAATTAAAAATGTATCTATGCGGTATGTGGGGTGGGCAAATAACCAAAATCAAACACATTAATTATTTTAAGCCTAATGATTTATTTACAGGGTAAAATTATGTTTTTAATTATCGTCAGCGCCGGATTATATTATTTTGCGCCCCGGGTCTAAATTTTCTGCCCCTACCTATCTAATATGGTCACAAAAAATATAAGTTTGAAGTAGATATGTGAGTTTCAACAGAAAAAAAATTTTAGAGGTCGCTCAAGAATTTTCCAATTTAATTGTAGTCTAAAATTTTTTTGACTTAAAACTTGGAGATTTCCCTTAAATACTTTAAACTTAATTTTTTTCATGTGAGCTTCAAAATAAAAAAAATTGAAAAAAAATTGCCACCCTAAAAATCATAAACAAAAAGTATATAAGAAACAAATAGTAACAAAATTAACATTTTGCAAAATTGGCAGTTGGCATGCCAACTGAACTTTGCGTGTTTTTAAAGTGGCAATTTTTTTTACAATATTGACCTAATCTTTTAATAGCATTTTATAGATGATTAACAAACAAGTTAAATAAATATTTCTGCAATCTAGTTTGCCCATAACAAATTGTCGGGCGCCCTATGTTGCGTACACTGTTCAAAATTTCATGACCATTTTAACACCAAATTAACACCATATTTGGTCTATATCGATACAAACCAAAATGTTGTTAAATAGGGTTCGTTGGTCCGGTGTTAAATTTAAATACGTACGAAAAAAGGAAAAAAAAAGGAAACAGGAAGTTCCTTGACGCATTACTAGTACATTACCAGTGGTATTATTCCAGAAAATGGAACCTTCAAATCGCTAGAGATAATGTTTTTAGTTCGTTCCACTAACTTAAAATACTTTAAGTATTGACAGCTGTTTCCACCTATTTAAGGTCTAGTATCGAACAACTTGTAGTGTCACACCAAAGCAAAGGACAACATGAGCTTATATATTCTTCATGTAAGTCAACAGAGGCGAGATTTAAGAACATCACGTGATCCACAAAAAAATAAATACTTATGGGTCAACTAAATTAATATAGTTAAATGAACTATTTCTTTTTTTCTGTGTAGGTGCACTTCTCAAATATTTTTAGATAAACACCGTTTTGGTGTTCATTTTCAACCATAATTCATGTTGTTATATTAACACCACTTGGTGTTGGATTTTGACACCATTTTAGGATTACTTTTTACACATATTTACAGATATTTTAAACAGTGTATGAAATATTCTGTATACTAGGCATATATGCATAGTATATCTACTATGGCTACAATCGGTTGTGATTTTTGTTTATTAAAACTGATTAATACAGTAGTTATTATTATTACACGAAAAACAAAAAAAGGGAAAAGCTCTTTTGGTAGTAGAAAAAAAATTACAAGTCAAAAATCTTGCTCCTCGGGTCTTTGGAGTCTATATATAGACCCCAAATACCCCCCACTAAATCTGTCGCTGCTTGTTGATAAACATAAGGTTTCATCCCCCAAATAGCTCCCGAGGCGGGTACTTTAGATTGCTCTAGGTATGTTTTTTGGGTTTAGGGTTCGTAAGTTTCAAGTCTGCTTTAATCGAGCTTTATTCTAAGTAGCAAATTAATGATCTTCAAATTACTCATTTTATATTGCATTTACAAAAAAATTATATGCCAAAATTTAAGTGAAACTTACTTAATTAAATTCGTGTTATGTTTTTATCAGTATATCGATGGTTATTTGACAAAACATCGTAAGCGACAATTTTGTTGAATTACTTTTTATTTTATCTAAGTGTCAGTTACGATAAGCTGCACATGTTAACATAATATTTATCCCAATTTTGGAATCTAAAATTGGTCAGTTTGAATATTTTTATTATTGTAAGCGCCTCTTCTTTTTAATTTGTTACCGATTTAGAACGTAAGCGCTTATATGTTCCCGGCAAATAATCGTAAGTAACTCCGAGACATGGCGTTTGCGATTTGACATTGTGTCGCCTACGATAGGTAATATTTTGCTTCTGCCTTGATCTATAAAGGCGTTATTCCAGCTCTATTCCAGCTTCTATTCGTGAGAATACCTGCATCGTGGTGATTGCTACCAAGTTTTAAAATAATATTTTATTTTATCATAAGCTTATAATAACTCTTTTTCATTGCATAATTAATAGTTATCCTAATTATAATTTTTGTTACCTAGTGTGGTTCGTTGAAAGTGTTTTTTGTAGTAATTGTATGTTGTTCTAGCGTCAAACAATTTGACTCAAATTTATAACGGTTAGATCAAGGTTCCATGGGTTAGATACTGCTTTGTGGATCGTAGAGATAAATATAACGGTTCCACCGAAACAAAATTTCAAAAGATTTGACTTAAATTATTCATTCCATGACGACAGATTCAGATTTTTTCTATTCAAGCTTTGAAGACGAAGAAAGGGTAGGGATAGATGACAATGTTGTTGGAGAGGCTGGCTTATAAAATACAAAAAGGTGGGCAAAAGATAAAAAAGGCTTAAGGTAGCAAAAAATCAGTTCAAGAAAACCCATGCAAAAATAAAGTGTCAAAATGCATTTGCAGCAAAATTGACAAAACAAGAACGCCACGATATTTTTTACTATTACTGGGGCTTAGGTACTCCAGGTAAAGAGACTGGCTTTTATCCTGCATTAAGGAAAAAAAGGGGGAAGTTGGGTTAACACAGAAAACAGTAGAAGAAACAGAACCTTATATTTTATTACATGGAATGATCAGGAAATCGAAGTTTGTCAACAATTTATTTTGAAAACGATCTGTATTTTACAAATGACTTTAAGGTGCACAAAAACTAATGCTCAAGACCAAAAATTTGCGAAAATTGATCAAAGAGGTAGGCACAAACCTCCTCGTAAAACAAGTAAAGAAGATAGAAATAGTGTACATGAATTTATCAAAAAACTTTCTGCTGTCCCATCTCACTATTGTAGAGCGTCTATAACAAAAAAATACCTATTTTTTGAGCTTAGAAACGTGTCATTTCTTTACCGAATTTATTTATATATAATAAAACTAAAAAAAAATGTCGCTAACGATGTTTTGACAAAAGTAATCATCAAATCTATATTCCACAAAGTAACGTAAATGTAACTTAAGGGACAAGACTAATTTTACATTTTCCTAAAGATGTTCCTTTAAAATATCGCATGCCTCATAGTTTAATAAAAATTTTAGATTGGATTCGATCTAACATAAATATTTGAATTCTACATTAATAAAATAATGCCTCACCAGTTATCAGATACATAACTTTAAAAATAAAGCTCCCAAACAAAAAAATCTCTCCTGTAAAATTTAGGTTTTGTCGCTTACGATGTTTTGTCAAATAACCATCGATATGCGTTCGCATAATAATTACATCGAGTGAAACGATAGTTTTATAGCGCTATGACAAATGTGAGATTTAAGATTAAATGTTTTATATAAATTAAATGTAAAGGCAGTTTTAAATTATCCTGATTTTAAATAAATTAAATATAAGATGTAGGTATAATATAATGCAACGTGGTCTCTACAATAACCCATATAAACTAATTGCCAGCATGCATTGAAGTCAGATATTTGCAAGTTAAGCCGCCAACTTTACAATAAAACAGCGCGATGCATCGCCCAGAAGCGCCAACAGAAATCAGCGCCTAGTAGGGGTGTCTATCCCGAGATACCGAAATCCCATGGTCCCGGGATCCCGTAAAAATCCGATCCCGAAAATCCCGGGATCAAAAGTTCAAATCCCGGGATCTTAGTAATAAGTAACAAAGAATAAAATATACTTTTTTTTAAGCGTATAACAATTTTTATATTATAATACTCATAAGCATATATAGAAATACCTACTTCATATTTGCACGCAGTTCAAAATTCAAAATATTATATACCGCCGTAGAATAATGAAAATACATATATTGCGTTTAGCATAAAATCAGCAGAGAAATTGTAAAATTATAGGTCAATGTAGAATAAATTCATGTACAACGTAACGTAACGTAACACCAATTTTTGTTTTACCCCGTCTGTAAAGTTAAAAAAAAAACATCTTCTTTTATGCAAAAATGACCTATTTCCACATCCTATCCTTTACGTATCATCTGCCTATAAGCATATATGCTTAATGTCAAATCTTAAATTGCTTTTTAAAATAGACAAAACTTGTAATTTTTTTGTTTAGAGTTGTTGTTCCTGTTTTATTCTAAATTGACGGTATATTCTCAAGTTTTAAATATTCATGAAATGACAGGTTAGTTTGTGAACTAGTTAGATACCTTAACTTACACAACTCTTGTACATACATTTGCTTAAGGGCATTTAAATATACTAAATTCAAGCTGGGGTTGCGAATTTGAAATTATCTTTACCAAAAAGAGATTTATACAGTCTACAGTGTATAAAAACAACAATGACAATAATAAGATATTAAACATAAAGAAATACATACTATCGCTAACAAAAAAAACTCATACAGCTTAAAAATCTAGTGTTCCTGATTTTCTATCATTTCGTTGGAGTAATTATGGCTTTTAACATGATACGTCACATTTGAAAGGTCTAAAATTAAATACAAAGTTAGGTTGAAGTTTGAAAAAAAAATAATATTTCGTCATCCCTCTGTTTTTGTCAATTACTGCCCGCAAACGGCAAAGCATGGAAGTCGCCGTCTTGCTTTATCTCGTTCCAAATGGCTTCAATGGCTTGCCAGAGTTCGTCTGCATTGTTTGGTTGAAAATGTTGTTAAAAAAGTCATAATGGATGTGACAAAGCTCGATGTCAGCTTGACATTGACGGAAAAGTTTTATTCACACAGCCACAATATAGCTGTATGAGTTTTTTTTGTTAGC